TACAGCTGTCTGTTCTCTCAGCTGTTTGTACTCTGACCCCTTGAGCGTCCTTAGTCCCAAACCTCACACAGGTCTGTCTCTGCTCACTGTGACACACTCACACTCTGTGTGCTACTACTGGGGTTGACGAAACCCAACTGCTGTGTACCTAATCTGTTAGTATACCTTATGCTAAAGCAGTGATCATCAACTGGCAGCCTGTGAACCAAATTCGTGCCTATCCAACCCAGCCTGCGACTGGATGCCAAGATAAACACAGAAATGTGTTTTTATCTAATTTTATTTGAGTGTCCGACCTAAGTGTCTGTCAGGAGAAATCCACAGATGAATATAGTTGGTGACCCCTGTCCTAAAGCATTGCTTTTACTGTTGTTAAACATGTCCTTAATGGAGTTTAACAAGAATGTTAATTGTATGGCTGAGCTGCAGCGGTGAACCCTCAACTTTCGTCTAAATGGATTATTTATGGTTCAGTAGGTTTTAATAAATCATCAAAGTTGAAATTCTCCCAGGCCTTTTTACAAACACTGGCTGTCTGCCATGGAGTCAACTATTCACAGAGGTCCACTGGTTACTACATTAACCACTGGACATGTTGAAGTCTGTGACGTTGTACTTTGTCTTCTACTTTCTAAATACAGTATGTAAGAAGTTGGTGAAGGCAGTCTAGCTGTCAATTGAAGTCATCTGTTTAAATCTTGCACTGGGATGTTGACAGACATTGCCTGCAATCAGACAGTCAGGCTGTCAGTGACTTCTATTGTCACATCATGTGTGCCTTCCTCCTTCCAGCTCAATCATCTGTCTTCTCTTCACAGATTCCCAATGTGCCATACTGACATTTGCTGCAGTGTTTTCCTGAGGTGTTTCTTTACTCTTTTTGTCTGTATGTTGTTTATAGGATAGGCAGGTTTAAAACTATGATCATACTTTGGCAGCTAGCAGCTAATGTAACATTCTATTACAAAGATGTGTTAACGAAAACCCATCAGAGATGAATGATCATCAACTGGTGGCCCATGGGTCGAAAGTCAGACAAAAATGTGATTTTTATTCCATTTTATTTGAGTGACCAGACCCCAACATGTCTGTCCAACAAATATAGTTGGTGACCCCTGTTCTAGGGCCTGCCTTCTGTAATGTTCCTTACAGATCCTTAAAAATCTTTGGCCCACAGTTACTGGTTTAACACTAGAAGAATATAAGATTGTCCTATTTTTAGTGTCTCATCTGATTTAGAATGGACTCTAACATCTTGAAACACTGGACGGCCTCTCGTTATTAAACAAATAAATAAAGTTGTTTGAAAGCAGGAATCATTTGTGTGCAACTACATTAGAAGTCTTGAGTATCCTAGGGGGAGGAATCACCAGCCAGGTTTATAGTCAATCAAAGCTCCTCGTTAAAACAGTTTGAACCCCCCCACCGCACCCCCCGATCTGCGTCAGTCGAGCAGTTCCCATTTGCTTCACAAACATCAGTCAAACAACTGTGAGGAAAAAAAACTGTTAAGTCCTTTGGGATAATGAAAACTTGGCAACAGCTGTGTCACAGTGTCCCTACTGAACTGTGTGTAATGAATAACAGGGCTGACAGTTGTATAGTCACTGGACTGTAGATTATTGTCATGTGAATTAATCCGCCTGTTTTTTCAGTGAAACAGCAGAACAACTGCGTGCAACAACCTTTTCTATGTTACAGAAGACCTTGAACTGTCAGAGGCTCGGAGCACAGACGTGCAGACTGGTTAACTCACCACTCACTGCCGTCTTTAGTTTTAACAGACACATCTCTGTATGTGTCCTCAGTTCCACATGAATGACTTTGATACTCATCCTTGATCACATTGGAGGCTAATCTTCTCTGCAGCTCCATGTATGATTACAGGCTGGTTTGTGGTTGGAATGTTGTCTGGACCTCTAACCCATGTAATCAGTGACATATAAAAGCCAATATTGGTTTAGTCTGGTCATGACTGTTTTTACGGCCGCTTGTAATTGTCTCTGAATTTGAAACCTTGTCCATAGTCAAAGATCATCACCGCCGACCTGTTCATGAACTGTAATGAAACAGGTCACTGATAGTGATTGTGAATGTGCAAATAATTTCTTTGCCCCTAAATTGTCTTTTATCTAATGGTGATTGATATGTGGGAGGTGCTGCTCTGAGTGGAGACCATTTTGCTGTCGTGCTAATATATTTAGCCAGTGTTCTTAAGGCTGTTGTGTAAATCATTCTTTCTAGATTAAATGTATTGGATTTCAGTTAAATATTTTTTTTCCATAAAATGAGACCTATTTATGTTTTTATTTTAATTCACAACTGATTTTTGACAGAAAAGTCCAATACTAACAAGACAAAGTCTAAAAGATGTTTTATTTTGTGTGTAGAGGAAAAAAAAGGAGACAGCACGTATGTTCATGCTGATGGTGTGTACTACTACTATTGTAGTACACTGCCTGAAGAGCCACTTTACTTTACTCTGTTTCACATCATCCAACTGCCCCATTACTGTTATATTAGCCTGTGTATTCTCTCTCTATTGACTAGTCAGAGGATATTGAACTTGCATAACAATAGTGCCCCCTAATGTGTTACCTGATTATCATTCACCTCTTACTAATCATTAGTATTATGTGGTAAGTATTTTTATGAGTGCAGAATAACAGGCATGGTGGGTTTTGTTGTGTTTTATGGTCCTGGCCCGACGCCTACGCTGCTCTCATCGTGCAGCCCACTCACGAACGCATGCTGCTCTGCTGCTTTTCTATGGATGTTACAGTAAGAGGTATATGACATAATACTACATCTCACCTCCAGAGGTTTATACCAGCACCGTATCTGTTTGTTTTCACCTCTTTCAGTGACAGGTTCAGTTGTTTCCTTAGCAAATTTAATAACGTCTTAATAAGTCTCGGCATTGAATGCAGGAAGAAGACGGTGTGAACAGTGCACATATGAGTCTGTAGGTGTTGGAGTGTCTCAGTGTTCAGATGGTTCTCATAGAGTTCTCTAGGTGTTGTATTACACTATAATTCCTTACTTCTTTGTTTTGTTAAGCCTTAAACTTGCAAATTAAATTCCTTAGAGGAAACTGAAGTACTCAGTAAATCAATGCTCCCTTTAATATTTCACATATGTGCATAATTAAAAAAGGCTCTGTTTTTCTACCTTGTTCTTGACACTTGCCTTTGAAACCCTCTCTGGTTTGTGTCAGTGTTTAGTTGCCCATAGAGGCAAAGTCACATTACACCATAGCTTTTGTTGCCGAAAAAAAAAAGACTTAAAAAAAAAAAAAAAAAACTGAACTAATGCAAGTTCTTATCTCATTTAAAGTTCTACAACAGTTTTGATGTGACAGTTGAATGTTTAATCCATCAGAGGGCGATCAAGATACAACTAAACTGTATTACCTAACCTTATTAACACCAGTGACTGATTCCATTGTTGCATATGAGCACAAACAAAAGCTCTTCATTTATCTTTTACCTCTGCTGACCAAATAACAATGCCTGTGTGCCTGCACATGCTTCTCATTTCCTGCTACATACTGCAAATGCCTTTTGTTAGAAGCTAATATGTAATTTTGTTATTTTAGCAGGGAAGCTGAATTATTTTTCTCATGGTCAAATCCAATAGGACCTTCCAACTCTGAGCTTTACCTTTGTTTTTTACAGGATACACTGAAGCCATCGTTAACGGTAGCCAATCTACCAGGCACTGCCAGCAGTGGTCAGTCAACAGTACCCACCACCTCCACCACCATGCAGGTTAGCAGCGGACACTCATTTCCTGTAACCAACTACTTGGCACCAGTCTCGGCCAGCAGCAACGTCAGCGCCAACAGTACCGTCCTGAAGGCTGCTGGTGCCTCCACAGGAGTCATGCAGCTGCCCAGTGGGTTCACTTTCATGCCTGGTATGTCGCTGCAAATCAACTCCGTTTGAGTTTTTTTTTTGTTTGTTTGTTTGTTTTTTTAGTAACAATCTATAATTCTGTCCTGTATAATGAACCTGACTCCAGGCTGGACCTTTGTGTTTAGTTGACGTCAGTACATTGTCTGATTTATTAACTGATTAGAATTTGAATGGCATCTAAACCACCTCATGTATCTCAGGGCGGCTGCCTCTCTCCTCGGGCTGTTTACATCACTCAACAGCTCTTCATGTACAGTCACCGACACTCGACTGCCTTTTTTTTTTCTACAAAGCCTGCAGTGTCCAGGAAAGCACTGTGTGTCGGCAAATGGTCCTGTCTTTGATTGTCACTTGGGGAGAGGAATAATTAGGTGAGAGGGACACAATAAACCCAGAGATGGTGGCTGACGAACAAGGCCCTTAATTAGTCATGAATATTCAATGAAGGATCTATGCCCTCTGCCCAAAACATAATAGAGCTGCACTCTGTGGCGCCACAGCTTTGAGGTCCTGAACTTGACGTGACCCTTCATTAAGGGGGAACCTCACAGACACACACTGAAACAAAAGACGCCCCGACTGCACCGAATTGTTGGGCGATTATTTGGACAGCAGCCTCTGATGTGGTGGATCCTGCCGTGTCTGTGAACCCACTCTGTCTGTGATTACTGGTCACACTTCCTCTATGTCGTAGGCACGCTGTTATACGATTTGGAAAGGCAGGCAACCCAGTGGAGGTAGTTGTTTGTGCTCTTGACTTAAAACAATAGGTCACTGGTTTGATTGACAGACACTTTGAGTAGTTGTGGTTTTTATTCATTTATTTTTTACAGTAAATGATGTGACTTGAATTTACAAAAGGCTGACTCCTCACAGACATATGTGAAGATGAAGAAAGGTCCAGAGCCCGTTAGCGTTGTCTGTCTTCCAGCTGTGAAGTGAATTGTGACTGAGTGTCTCCTGTCAGCTGTTTGATACAAAATAACAGACGCACGGATGATGTGGGTTCATCCTGTTATTTTTACTGACATTTGAAGGCATCGTCTGTCACTCACTCACTCACTCACTCACTCACTCACTCTCTCACTCTCTCTCTCTCCCCCCCCCTCTGTCCTCCTCTCCACCACCTGTCTGTCACATAGCAGCAGTGCCAGGTGGAACAACATGCACACACATACACATAAATGTTCCCAGCTGGCAGATTAAACAGCTCTGCCTAATTACCGCACATGGAGGTGTGTGTATACATATATTGTTTGACACAAAAGTGTCGTAATGTCAAGGTAAAGTACCTCACAGTCAAGCTGCAGTATATGCCCTTGTCTCTGTGTTTAACCAAACAACCAAAACTGTCAAGAAATCTATGCAACGGTATGACTCAAAATTAATGCACAAAATACATTATATATATATATATAATCTTAATTTATTGTGATGAATCCAGAGCTAACCTGTGATTAATCAGATTAAAACAGTCTTCATGTTCTTGCAGGTGTGTGTACCGTTTGTGCACTGAACTCGTATGTATTTCATATGTACTTTCTGTGCCTCCACCTTCAGCAGGCACTCCTCTTCCTCCTGGCACCCCTGCCATTCCTCTGAGCCAGCTGCAGCAGCACTCCCTCACCCTCCAGGGGCAGCATGGTCAGACGCTGGCTGCCGCCCAGCAGCCTCAGCAGGGACAGCAGGCTGTCTTCCGCTTTCCTGCTGCTGTCTCTCTCACAGGTGACCTGCTCTGCCTGCTGCCACACCTGTGTCTGCTTTGACTGATCATAATCACATTGGATGCTGCTGCTGCTAATGCTAATGCATGACAACTTCTTCCACTGCTCATACTGTCGTCGCCACTGTTGTCCTTCACACACTGCTACTGCAGCCGCTGCTCCTCCTCAGGCTGTTTGAAGACTCATCTGCTCCTTGTTGCCTTCTCTGTGATTGTGTTCAGGAGCAGGCGTTCCTCAGCAGCTCCAGGCCATCCAGGTCCACCCCAACACCCAGTCCTCTAACAATGACAACAGCCAAGACATCTCCACTAACTCCACTGGTAGGTTCCCTTACCAACCTGCTCCTTTTAATGTGTGTGTTTAGAAGTTGTTGGTTAGTTCGTAGCAGATTACAGTCGTGGGATTAAAGGGTTATGTTATTGGTATAAATATGCTGATGACGGTGGCTGAAGTTCTAGATGATGGAGATGGCAGAGGTCACATACACTGCTGTAGAATTAATGAAGAAGGTGGGGGAAAATTATACATTTTAATGATTCTACTATTACTACTCTAAATGAATAAGAAGTACATGTGTACTCTTGAATTATACTTTTGAATTCGACAGTACCTAGTAATACAGTATGTGTCTGTGAATCCCAAATTGATCCTTTTTGATATTGATTTTTTTATCCACTCTAAGTGAAACTTACCAAGGAAATTATCAGGTATATTATATATATATATATTTATGTTTTATAATGTCAGTTTGTCATCATTGAAACAGCCCATAACAAGGACAAATCAGTTCAGTTCAATTACCCAGATTAGCCTTGAGGGTATTACATGGTTAAAAATATTGTAGCATGTTAAAGTATTTTGGGTTTAGTATTTCTTAATTATATTTTGTGGGTTGTTTTTTTTTTTTTTTTTTTATAAAAAATGTTGCACCAAGGGTTAAACTTCAGCCGTGTTTATTTCCTTAGTGTTCTTTTGGTTGTTTAGTTTTATAGTGCTCATTAAAAGCACAGTATATTTTTCATCAAAGATGTACTCATCTCCACAGTACTGTAAGTATCAGAGTACTTTCTAGCAGTGCTTTGAAGCTAAATATATTAACATTTTAAAAGTTGTTTTTGTTAACTGTGACTGCCTTATTTTATACATAAAGTAAATGACGTTGTGCATCATAATAAGGACGTAAATACTGACGAGGTCAGGCGTCCTGACATCATCATTAGTCTGCTCCACTCTATTATTAGCACTAATAGATTCAAACAATGATAGTGCCTTACTGAAGAAAACTTTAAAAACCAGTGGTTTGGACAGGTCAGGTGCACGTCCTCTAGGGGGCGTCTGAACAAACAAGGAAGAGGAAAGGTAAGCACGGGAAAAATGTCAGAAGAATCTAACTCACATGGATTATTTTTAAACAGTGCAGTAACATCAAAGAATGAAACAAATGTGCGATTTAGTGTCACCTGTGGGTAAAATAGGGTATTCCAACAAATAATCCGACAGACTTCCGTAGATTAGGACGTAGATATATGTAATTTTCATGCACGCTTACTGAAATTTGCTGGGAGAAATTATTATTGAGACATCGATGTAAGGATTTTCACAACAATGTACATTAAATGTAATTAATAAATACATTTTCTTCATCTATAAATATTTCTTTGTTCTTATTAATATTCCACTGCACTGCAGACAGACTTTTGTAGTTGTATTTAGACGGACCTTAAGCGCCATCTGCTGGTCAACACTTGTACCTACCTTCTGGCCTTCGTGTGACACCCTTCTCGCCCTCCCTCCTACTGTCTTCCAGCCAGTCTCCCAGCAACCATCGTCACTTCGTCAGTCCCAACGTCTGTGGCGGGTCACATGATGTACCACAGCCCCCACGCTGTCATGTACGCCTCTACGCCCACTTTAGCTGACGGAGGGCTGGCAGTGCTCAACGCCTTCTCCCAGGGCACGTCAGCCATGCAGATGTCCCACTCACAGGGCCAAGATGCGGGTGAGACTCTGAGCCACACAGTCCTGCTGTTGATCAACCACACACACACACACACACACACACACACACACACACACACACACACACCTGGTGTGTTTGCAGGTAGAACAATGTTGTTTCTCTCTGTCTCTCAGGTGCCGTCCCTCAGGTGTTCCTCGCTGCACCTCCAGGCACTGTCCAGATCCCCGTCTCCGCCGTGCAGCTACACCCAGTACGGCAAGATCTGCATTATACAAGTGAAACTCTCATATTCCCTATGCAACCAGCATGTCACGTGTCTGCACTAATGCATCCTAACAGAGCACTGGCACACAGAGGCTACAAGGTCGCCCCCTGTCGTCTCTCTGTATGAATTTGGAACGGTCGTCACGCTTTTACTTATGATGAGAGGCAACAGACACGAGCAACAGACTAAACAAAACACCAGTGTTAGCATGCACGGAAGAGAGTGGGTTTTTTAAAGTTTGGACTGTACGGTTATATGGACTGATGGTGTTCTAGTGAAAAAGTGACCTGGATTTAAACTCTGGCTGAAATAATCAACTCCAACACTGTTATTTCATTATAACCAGATGATGAATACACAGCTGTAAATTAATACTATGGAAAAAAACACAAACTTCCATCCAGTTATTCAAAGTGATTTCACAGAAATCTCTAGCGTCCCCTCAGGATTACACGGCCCCATGTTGAACAGCATGCAGCGAAAGCAGGATGTCCATCTGTGCCGGGTGCTGTGAGCTGACTTGTGATTGGCTGTTGGCCACCTCCCACACTGATGCAGGCTTGTTGTGTTGCAGATGGTGATTGGGCAGCAGTCGAGCGGCAGCAGCAGTAACCTGACAGAGCTGCAGGTGGTCAACCTGGACGCCACACACAACTCCAAGAGCGACTGACAGGGACTGACGGAGGGAGCGTTGTAACACAGTACACCCAGGGACACACACACACGTACATACATACATGTACATCGTTTCATTGATGCCTTCCTAATGACCTTATACAAAGTTATATATATATAAATATTTTTTATATATTTATATGTAATATATATATAACATATAAATACATGAAATGCATCTATTTATATATGTATATATGTAAACGTACATATATACGTATATATGCATGTAGGTATATATGTACATATGTGTGTATATGTATATATGTACATATATGTTACATTATCCCAAATGCATAGGAAATGGGAAAACACCCTGTATTTTTGAGTGCGTGTTTGTGTGTGTGTGTGTGTTTGTGTGTTATTTTACACGTTTGGTGTCAGAGGTTCACACCAGCCAAAGAGACATGAGTGTGTCAGAATGTTCCAGTGTGAGCTGTTTGTGCAGGAGCCTTTGCGTCTGTGTGTGACTTTAAAAACACTTGTTGACTTAAAAAATGTACATACTTTTTTTTTTTATTATTATTATTTTTAAGCGACAACTTGTATTATTTTTTTTTAGCCTGGTTTAGTTTTGGCAACAGCATGTAGTTGTTTTTTTATGTTTTTGTTTCTTTGGCTTTTATGTATGTACATGAAAATGATTTGCATAAGGAAAGTTATTTACATGTTCATGTAAATTAATTTAATATACCATTTATGATGTTGACTCGCTGTCATGCCGTTGGCAGTTTTCACTACAGAGTGGAAGAGTAATGCTGGATGACTTGTTAAATTTTTTATTTTATTTTTTATTTCTTTTGGTCGACATTGGTTGTCTGTCCAGCAGTATTTCAGTGTTTGTCAGAGATTTTTATTTTTTGTTTTCTTGCTCCAGAACATTTCAGTGCAAACAGCATCCTCTGTTCTGACATCAGTCTGGCTCGCTGTGAGGCCTTGCTGCGGCACTTTATGTGGAACTTCTGTGTTATTTTATTGCTACAGTGCTGATAGGTTTGGTGGTTTTGTCTTCTGGGATGCAGCTGTGGAGATAACCTTTTCAGGAGAAAGCGTTGCTGCCATTACTGGTTAGTTCTGATTGGTTAGTTCAGTATGTCAGCTGAACAAAGCAAAATAGCTGAAGTCATGTTTGCGAGTGCAGCGCCTCCTGCTGGCTCTTTTTAACACCACGCTTGCTATGGAGTGGTGGCGAAAACATGGGGACAGTAGCTTTGATAGCTAAGCAGTGCAGTGTTCTGTTGAAGCTGGTACAAACATGCTAAACTGTGAACAACAGCTCGTACTGTAGACAAAACAACCGGCAGTGAATTATGTTTTTCTTTTGAGCCTAAATGATATGAGGAGCAGAAATAACGACTGTAGTCAATGGTCTTGTTGGCATTTCCAGCAAATACAGGCACCTAGTTTTGTCTTTACAAATGCCACTGCAATTTACAAGATAAAAAGAAAAACCAAGCCAGAGCTGCTGCACATTTACTGGCTTAATTTCTGTAGCTCGATTTTCTAATAGTTAAAACAATGGAGAAATAATAACCTTCGTGGCGGCCTTCAGGCGACCACCAACTCAGATTTTTCTCTATTTAATAATGCACAATGACAAACTCCAAACAAGTGTTTTTTTTTTTTTTTTTTATGTACGTCAAGTGTTTTCTGCAGAGTTCCAACTTCTTTCACCAAACTTGTCTGGTCTCAGCAATTACGACCGAGGACCTTCTTTCTGCACCATTGTGCCTCTTTCCATATATATATATATATATATATATA